AGGGGCTTAAGTGGAGAGAAAATGTTTTGATAATGATGAGGGCAATGAATGTACAAATGTGCTTTACACAATTTATGTATGTGTGGATTGTGATAAGAGCTGTATGAGCCCCTAGTAAAACAATTAAAAAAAATTTACAGTTATCGTCTTCACCCTAATGTCAATAGTACACAGGTTGGCAACTCTGAGAGTCTTTCTAGAGCTTTAAATCTGGTGTTTCCCCAAGAGGAAAGTAAAAGGGAAAAGAGGAAAGAACTAGTGGCAAAGAATTTATAGAAGTCTAAATACAGACATGTACGTAGGTAAATATATTTATATATATCAATAGGGAAATAGATCTATGTACATATATTTGTATGTTATGTATTAAGGTAGCAGAGAGACATCGGGCCCCTACTCAAGTACTCCCTCAACACAAGAACACTTTGTTCTAATGACTTGGCATTCCATGATGCTCAACTTCCAGATACAATCGCTGAAGACAAAATGGGTACATAAGCAAATGTGGTAAAGAAAGCTGATGGTGCCTGGCCATCAAAAGATATAGCGTCTGGAGTCTTAAAGGCTTGAAGATAAACAAGTGGCCATCTAGCTGAGAAGCAACAGAGTCCACATGGAAAGCAACAAAATCCACACCAACCTGTGTGATCATGAGGTGTCTCTGGTATCAGGTATCAGGTATCAGGAGAAAAAATCATATCAATGTGAATGAGGGGGAGTGTGGAGTAGAGACCCAAAGCCCATCTGTAGACAACTGGACTTCCCCTTACAGAAGGGTCACAAGGATGAGATGAGTCAGTCAGTGTGCAGTATAGCACCTATGAAACATACAGCTTTCCTCTAGGTCTTTAATGCTTACCGTCCCCACCCCGCCCCACTCACTATCATGATCCCAATTCTACCTTACAAATCCAGCTAGACCAGAGCATGTACACAGGTACAGATAAGAGCTGGAAACAGGGAATCCAGGACAGAAAACCCCTCAGGACTAATAATGAGAGTAGTGCTACCAGGAGGGTAAGGGTAAGGTGGGGGAGAAAGGGGGAACCTCCCAGGGGGGACAGACAACAGAAAAGTGGGTGAAGGGAGACATTGGTCAGTGTAAGACACGAAAAAATAATAATTTATAAAAATTATCAAGGGTTCTTGAGGGAGGGAGGGAGGGGAAAAATGTGGAGCTGATGCCAAGGGCTCAAGTAGAAAGCAAATGTTTTGACAATGCTGAGGGCTACGAATGTACAAATGTGCTTGACACAATGGATGTACGTACAGATTGTGATGAGTCATATGAGCCCCCCCCATAAGATGATTTTAAAAAAAAGGAAATGATGATGACAACATATACACAAATGTGCTTGATATAATTGATGTATGGATTGTTATATGAGCTGTAAAAGACCCCAATAGATGACATATATATGTAAAAAGATTTACTGCCTCCCAAACCCACAAGGCTAGTTCTGCAAACAAATGTTAGTCTGAACCCAGTCAATGGCAGTGAGCTTGGCTTTGGCTTTTAAATCTTTATTGGGGGAGGAGGGTACCCCAGTGGGGTGCAGTCGTGAAGTGTTAGGCTGCTAACTAAAAGGTGCAGCTCTGAGGGAGCAAGAAGTGGCGGTCAGCTTAACTTCCAG